CCGGGCAAATGGCATCTATCATTCATATAACTCTATAAGAACCAATTGAAAACCACTTTCAAGCAGGATAATATACAAATCCATCGATTATCAACGATTAAGCGAAAATAAATATGCTTTCAACGAAAAAAAAATCATTGTTTTTGATATTGAACTGTGTGATATTTTCCGCAATCATTAGCATAACAATCGGTAAAGCGTTCACAGTTGCACGCTTCAAGAACACTTTAAACTCATAAGTTGAGATATTTATGGTGAACTTGATGCATGATTAATAATCTTTTGGTAGCGAGCATTTATTTAGAACTTCCAGGCTAGCCTGTGAAAAGGGCGCCAGCTTGAGGATGAAGGCTGCTCAATTCTTCTCGTATTTCCTTGTCTTTCAAGCGTCCTTATCGACTGCAAATAAGCAATCAACTTGTAAAAGAAGTAAGAATCCACTCTATAACTTTCAACTTAAAGATTTATTCAGAAAAACCGTGGAATGGGACGAATATAGAGGGAAGGTTCTCTTGGTGATAAACGTAGCGACATACTGACGCTTCACACCGAGAGATTATCCACAACTGAATGCATTAATGGAAAAATACAGCGAACCTAAAGACGATGGATGTGGATTCGCCATTTTGGGATTCCCCTGTAATCAGTTCAACTTCCATGAGCCAGGACGGAATCCTCGAGAAATTATTAACGGAATCAAGTATGTTCGACCTGGGAATGGGTTTGAACCTGCCTTTCGACTGTTTGAGAAGCATGATGTGAATGGAGCCAAGGAAGACTCGATTTACACGCATTTAAAGGTAAGCAATCTAATCTAAATCAAATCTTTTTTGTTCTGTTCTGCGTCTTGTGTTTATCGTGCGTGGTGAGTTTTTAACGCACTACGTAAAACGGAACTTGCGTTTATTATACGTGATATGAGTTTGCAAGGGCCTTGCGCAAGCCTTTGCACACAACCTGCTTTCCTTATCAAGCTACGGATACACATTGTACGCAATGTTGCAAGCAATCTATAATGCAAGCCATGTCACATGATGCATTTTGTGGCACGCGCATTAAAGTAGAAAACGATCCTTCTTCGGCAACATTGCCTGCAATATTGCGCGCAATGTTGCACTGTGTGTCCGTAGCTGTCGTTAGGCGAAAAAACTGTGGGCGGCACTTAAATTCTGAAAAATGACATATAATTCTTTCAGAAATATTGTCCTCTTCCTGGCGGAGTCATCATGAAAGATTTAAAACGTATCACTTGGGAACCCGTGCGAAATGACGACATTTCTTGGAACTTCGAAAAGTTCTTGATCGACGAGAAGGGTTTTGCCGTGAAGAGATTTCTGCCCACGTTGACACCACTTGAGCTGACAGAAGACATCAAAGAGATGATAGCAAAGTGTAGTGTGGAAAAGAGAAGAAGGGACGTTGGGTATATCGAGGAGGGATACTAAGGCAAGGAGAACTATGCTGAGCCAAGTATATTGTAATGCGTAGCTAGGATAGTTAAGATGATAATTAGAGCATTATACAAGTAGAAATTATAAGATTGTTTTATTTTCTTCCTCTTATCTCCTTTTCTTTCTTTCCCACATTTTCATTGTCAATATACTAGCTTGTTGGTTGATG